AGCGCTGGAAGTGGATTGGGCACACTTTGAGGAAATCACCTAATTGTGTCACAAGGCAAGCCCTCACATGGAATCCTGAAGATCAAAGGAGAAGAGGAAGACCAAAGAACACATTACGCCGAGAAATAGAGACAGACATGAGAAGAATGAACAAGAACTGGATAGAACTAGAAAAGGAAGCCCAGGACAGAGTGAGTTGGAGAATGCTGGTCGGCGGCCTATGCTCCATTGGGAGAAACAAACGAAAGTAAGTAAGCCATTATCAAGTCAGGGTTACACATGCCTGGTGTTCGCTTTCAGCTGATGTGATGACAGCACGTTGGTGGATAGGTTTAATAGCATGTTCGATAATCATGTACTATCTTTCGCTGGATTAGCCGTTGATGCATGTCTCACAATCTATCATCCCTAACACTATCATAATTCTTATTACCATCAGTCCACCTCTGCATACTCCGTCTCCTATCGTCTCCGTTATTCTCAGAGTTTTATCCGTCCATAATTTCTACGTAATCAACTTGTATATTCTAACTAACAGGCAATATCTACCCCTCCATATTTAAGCTTTGCAATTTTTCATGTCACATCAATTCAATCTCTGGTTCGGTAGTGTGATATCTGCTGGTTATAATAGCTCCACTTTCACAGAACAAATAAACTCATTTAAACTCAAGAAGCAAATGGAATTCAATAATTCAGCTGTTCATTGAGGCTCAATCTGCCGACACTTTCAAAAGAAAGTTGGATCAACTGAGAGATCACCATTGTTGGGACTAACTCAAGCCACAAAGCCTCCTGTCTTTTTCAGAGTGAGGATTGAAATATTAGCCAGTGGACAATCGAGTTAGATAGAATGACATCAGATGTGTTGATAGGCCAAACAAACTAGAAGCAACTGAATATCTGTTAACATGTCATAACATCAAGAAATGAGTGCAAAGAGGATAACAAGTTTACACTAGTTCGACATTTGTACACTGAAAGTCACTTCAGATCTAGATTTGTAGAGTAAGAACAAAAGGCCTACGACCCATGTTATTTCATTACTAGTATGCTTCTGTGAATATCTAGCCTTCTCTTGAATGAATCAATTGAAGGGGCGGATACCACTGCTTCGGGGGGCAGGTTCCAAGAATTGATGACTGGGTGAAAACCTGTATTCTAAGGGTATTTTATTCATTCTTGGCTTTTCTACTCGCCTGCTATGTCCTCTGGGGTGTACCGATCTAGTGGGAAGAAAAGAAGAGGATATATTAAGTCCAAAATAATTTCTTAGTATTCTATACATCAAAATCAAGTCACCTCTTAAACTGTGTTAGGAAAGAGTAAAGAGGTCTAACTTCTCAAGCCGCTCTCTGTATGGTAAACTTCGGGGTTCTGGAACTACATGGGTAGCTGCCCTCTGTAATTTTTCCAGGATAATTTAGTCACATTTTAAACAGGGGCTTGCAGCCTGAACGTAGCTCTCAGGCTTAGTTCTCACTAAGGCCATATATACTGTAATAAACGTAATAGTATCTGACTCGATAAATTTCCATCCTAAAGCCCGTTGGGTTCTAAACTCCTTAGCTTTAACCTCACGGCAGTAGTCCATGGTCCTAAGATCATGACTCACTGTCACCCCAAGACCCTTGTGAGAACGGACAACGGATACAAGCACTTCCTCAATGTTGCTACTATTGACCTTTGTATCCTTAATGTGCATTCATTTTGCCGCGTTGATGGACATCAGCCGCTATTTGGACCAGCGAATCACAATATTCAAGTCTGTCTGAAGCGCGGATGCATCTGCGTCTCCTGTTATTTCTCGCCAGATTTTCACATCATCAGCGTATAGTAATATTGGGGAGTTCATTTACATACAGTATAAAAATGTAAAGGACCTAGAACAGAACCTTGGGGTACTCCACTAAGTACTGGTCTCCGGGTGGAGCACTTTTAATTTACTCCTACTTTCTGTCTACGACCTACTAGGAAATCCTTAAACCATTTTAGGAAATGTCGAGCAATGCCTAGATCTTCCAGCTTCAATATCAGTCTATTCGTTGGCACCTTATCAAATGCTTTGCTGAAGTCTATGTAGAAAACATCCACTGATTTTTCATTGTTTAGAGCCTCTATCCATTCATCGCTTGGTATAAGGAGGTTTGCCGTGCAAGATAAACCTTTTCTGAAACCATATTTTTCACTGTTTAAGAAGTTGTTGGTTTCCACGAATGTCATTACGGTCTGTTTGACTATTCTTTCCAGTATTTGGACTACGACACTAGTGAGGCTGACAGGTCTGTAGTTTGATGGAGATTGTCTTGCTCTTGTTTTGTGTATTAGAGTGACGATTGCATCCTTCCAGTCCATAGATAACATAACTTGGTCAAGTGACATATTGAATATCACAGTTAGTGGGGTTGCAATATATTGTGCAATTTCTCTCAGGATTTCGGGGTGTAGCTCATGCGTTCCTGTTGAATTTTCCGTGTCTAAATTGCTAGAAGCCTTAAGTATATCGTTTCGATCAAAGTACACGGTGAGTAGACGGTATATTGACTTTGTATTTAGGTCTAGTTCTTCATCTAGAAGAGGTTCCTGAGTGAAAACTGCCCCCAAATAGTTTGTCATAGCTTCTGCTTTTCCCTGACAATCATCTATCATTTGAAATCCACTCCCTTAGGTTGGGAGTCTAGTGCTGCATCCTTGTTCTGTAATTTATGAACGATAATAGTCTTTTAGGCTGCTTGATTACAGATTGGGCTAACTGCATTTCATATTTTCTCTGAGATTTTCGGGATTTTCTATATCCACCATTTTCTCGGGCTCCGCCATTTTGCAGGTTGCAAGCACATGCGTAGCACATTTTGAATTCTGTGGAGAACTTTCCCTTACCATCCAGAATTGTTTAAAGGTCGTTTCGCTCCGAAATTTTGCTTTTGTAAACCCTTAAGTACGAGGTTTTTCACGTTTCGGTGGGGATCATTTATTTCTACTTCTGCCGATCGTCTCTTAATAAGGTTGTAGGGTCACTGAATATCGAACAGATCACTGATCCCTGTCAAGGTCAAGGATAGTCAACACGCAAAAAACCAATCGTACGCCATGGACTGGCCCACGCTGCAGTGGTTATTCTTTCACTTATGTACTTCCATAGTTGTACCTTAACTAATATATTATTGTAATAACGTCCTTTGTGTTGTACAGTCTCCATAGCATCCATTATCCTTTGATGCGTCGATGGTTCAATGCACGTAAGGGCTGGTCGCGAGGTGTGACTTCAGCGTTGGTTGGTTCGTCCCCATTCTCGTCTAACTATAGTAGGCCCCCAATCATTTTGACGTAGATCATCAACGTAGATCTTCTACAAGGTAAACGTGGCTGAGATCCTCACGGACGTATATCCTGGATTCAATCAGCTTGCGTGGGTTTCCAAGTGTCAGGTTTCCTTTTTCGACGGAAGCAAGGGTGACCTTCAAGATATGGCATTTTTGAGAATCCACTTTTTGTCCTACTATATAAAACTTACGGATGCTAACGCCTGGAATGGTTTCTGGGAGTAGCTTGCTTACTAAGGACTTAATGTGGCTTAGGTCACGTTCCTTTTCGGAAGATACTCTTAATATATGAAAAATGACTGGCCTGTCAGCGAGGTCAGTCTTATCAGGCTGTGGAATTTCAATTCTCAAAATGTGTTCCCTGTAATCCATTTTGCCGTCAAAGGTAGGAGTCGCTTTTTGTTTTCTTACTTTTCTTCTTCTGGATGTGACTGCGAGTCAATCATTTACTTTAGTTTGTCTCCTGATCACATCCTCTACACCGCTCAGACTTTGCTCCCTTATGGTTTATTTTGCGTTGATATGATAATCCGGAACTGAAACTATAGAGTCACGTACCTTAGTACCGTGTACAAAATGTTTGTTCTCCGCACACTGTTTCTTTTTCTTCGTGGCAATGCCTACATCTGTATGCTTGTTATCTGCTTCGCTGATGGGGTCCACGTTTATGATCTCATTCAAATCCGGAGCTGGGTTCATGATAACTCTCTCTATTTCCTCGAAAGTGGAGTTCTGCTCATCTACTGTTGCCTGTTTATCTGCCAGGCATTTTCTAGATATTTTCAGCAGCTCAACCGCCTCAAGAATCAGCAGAGACTTTGTGGAACAACTTGCAGCACTTTTTACAGTGTAATTAATTACAGTGTAAATAATTCCCCAAAATCAATAACTCATTAAGTGTTCGACATTGGATGCTGACCACATTGTTTAGGTGGACTTGTTTAACTGAAGGCTATCGGTCATGCATCCGCACCAGATCACGTTACGACCCAGCGTGGGACACTGCTCCTTCGTTCACTAGCCAGATTAAAGCAAAAGCTTCTCGATATATTGATAACGGATCAAATATATCTTTCTTACCTCTTCGCATCTGACTTCTGGTTTTATCTCATTTGGGGACGATTCGAATATAGAAGTTGTTACTGGTTTATAGTTGCAAAACTAGAATACTGGTCGTATCTTCAACAGGCAGCCGACGTGAGTCCGGTACACACATCGCGATACCACTTATTGTAGCTGTCACATGGCATCCTATCATCGACATGGAAATAGTATGAAAGCCTGCCACAACTTTGTTTTACTTGCGCCATAAATTTGTTTTGCGAACTAACGGCGAAGATAAATTGTCTTTTAAGGCTTGATAGGTGACAGACATTGAGCACAAAAAATTGAGGTTTGTATATAACTGTACCTAACAACTGTAAAAAAACCGACTTCAGTAGTTGGAAAAAGACATTGACACCTATGGATATAAACGAAACTACAAGATATGCTCAACGAAGAAAAATAAATACCAGTGGCGTTAGTTTTTTTAATCTGTACTCGAAAGTTACAGATGATAAACTTTTACAGGAAAAATGATACTCTCGGAGATTACTTTAACTGAAATAATTTTAATTAAAGCTAGAACAGTAGTCTTGATGATTAGTTTAACGAACAACACTTTAAAATATTCCCCGGGAAGAAAGATATTACTGTCCTTTTTAAATAGCGCGCGTTTTTATGATTAAGATTTCAATGTTGCTGATTCTAGGATGACGCTACTTGAGCAATTGTGTATCAATTTGTATGAATGAGTGGACATTCTGTATTTCATCAATATGATGGTCTTTCTAGAGGGGTTAGTTTTTGTCATGTTTCACATTTCATGCATACATATGGTATCTAAGTTACGGATTCGTAGTTCTTACGACTGAATAATTACTCGACTATTCTTGTCATTTTGTGGTCACATTTCTTCTTTTTCCATGTCCAAGTGTGCCGAATCATGCAACCTAACTCGTTCATTTCCTCCTGTCAAGCCATTTCTCCTTTCCCTTTAAAACTGGTCTGGTTTTGTCCCGTTAGTTTCCAACCATTTATACCACAGAAATGTTCATAAGTTGTCTTATAGCTTTAAAAGGTTGTACGTATAATTCTCTCACCGCAGTCTCTCTTTCAAAAAACATTCCTGAACCTTAAGTCTTGATTCTAATTTGCACATCCTAATAGTCGAGTATAAATATGTTTACGACCGTTTTTTCCCATATTTTGGATGTGAGGACTATCGATACGACCCCGCTGTTCAGATCAGAACAGGCTGAACTACATTTAAACCCATCATTGGATAGTGAAACTTATAGTGGTTTGAATAACAAGTCATATCTATAATTCCGATTTGTGAGGGATTGGTTCATAACTCCACCTTGAGTGAGGTAGTTTAGGCAGACTAATACCAATATTAGTTTTTGCTGAATAACTTAAAGTCATGATATTACTCAGCCCATAGCGGAGTAAGCTGCTAAAAGTGTAAAAACGACTAAATCGACAAGTTTCATCAGTCTATGGAGTCATTGACCATTGGCCTGAGCCATGTTGATTCAGGTCCGTAAGATAATCGTGACCAGTGGATAGAGACTTGAAGTGACATTGCTCAGAATCGTTCACAACGGTTCAGATTTATTTACTATTTATCTTCCTGGTCTTGAATTCCAGCATTCCTTTATGCCTACATTTGCTTCCCATCTTTTCAAAACACTATAAATATTCAGTATTCATCACTGTCATTTTACGTGGATTAAACGAATGTATTATAAACTTTGACTTCAATACAGGGCACAAAACTGCTTCTATCCTTCTCGTTCCTGCCACGCTAACTAGAGAGAAAAATCCGGTTTCATAAAGGAACCTTTGTTGGTCATAACCCTAGTTGTTATATACCGGTTACAATAATTAGGATTTATAGACTGAGTGACTATCACTAAACATAATCATAGTAAAATTTCACTGAAATTTCCCAAAGTAATATAAAAGAAATGTGTGGAAAGTTGACATTACGTTCACTTTAAGTCTATATTGGCTTCCATTCTGATTGATTATATTTGGATACTGTGCACCCATAACACATTGCTATCAGAATGTTCCAATCTCCTTGGGTCAGCCGACCAGTCTTAACGTAGAACTTGTAACTATGTACATCATTTAAAGTTTCCATACCCCCATAAGCATAGAAATGAGATTGCCAGGCCAAATCTCAGGATACTAGAGACAGTTACAGTATCAGTGGGGATACGAAGAATTAGGTATCGAAGATACGAGTCGGAAAGAGAATATAAATTACTGAAGTACATATAAACAGAAGTTATGAGGAGTTCAGGGAAAGACAACAAACGGATGCACCTGCATCATTGCAAACAATTTTGAGTCACGTCACTCAAAGTTTCTGACCATTTTTACGATGATTACGAGTAGGAGATAGTCTGTATCTATTAATATGTCCAAGTCCAATTGTCAATGACTTTCTGAACTGATGCCATGTTTTGGTTCGTTCACCCTTAGCTTCCTTCCAGCCTACGCCTACACCAGAAAGCATCATCCGTCCAGGTAGTCGGTGGATGGACATATGTAACGCATGTTTCAACCATCTTAATTGATGAAAATTCACTACCTCTTCAGTCGATTTGCCATCTTTGCCTTGTGCTCTATTCCTGACCCAGACATTACTTACTCCGTGGCCTTAAAACACACGAACAATGCTTCTAAGACACCTACAATTAAATACTAGTAACCTATGAATATTTTTCACTCTTAATAGCCGTGTTTCGCACCCATAAAGTAGGAGAGAACGAATCACTGCGCAGTAAACTCATCCTTTGTTTAAAAGACGGATATCTTGCCTACCCCACAAGTCGACGAAACTTGATGGAGTTTTTTGAATTCGTGCAGAGATTTCGTCAGACATCAGGACCGACGAGACACTCAAGATGAGTTAAGTGGTCGATGCGTTCAACTACTTCACTCCCTATCATTAGTTCAGGCGATGATGCAAGCCAATCTTGAAGTGACATTCTACATTTCGAGGAAGAGAACCTCATCCTAAGCATGCTTGGATTGTTGTTTAAAGTGGTTGGAAGACTATGTTTTGTCAGTGTCTTCACCAAACAGAACGATATCACCTGGGTATTCTAAGCCAACAAGTGAATCCTCAAGATCAACGGAGTGAAATTCTGCCTTACGATCAAGGGATACACTTATAGTTGGACTTAGAAAAGTATGCTTATGTTTCAGAATCTGCCGGTTGGTGAATATTTGGTACATACATTAACGTCCAAATCTGAAGCCAAACCAGTTTACTTGGTTCACTCTTCACGAGCTCTAGTTAGACGTTAAATTATTATTTTAGACACTGTATAAGCTTAACTGATTCCTCTGTGATTGTCACAAGAGGATTTTTGTTGTTTCTGATAAACTGGGACGATCAACGATCGAGACCAGTCATGTAGAATTGAATCCAGTTTCCAGATTTCAGTTATCCTAACTGCTAAAACTAGATCACCATCCTTAAACATATGAAAGGTTAATCCATCAGAGTTTTATGGAGAGTGCTGGTGGGCGGTCTATGCTCCTCCACGTCAGATAAAAGGCGTAAGTGAGTAGTTCATCAGCCCCTGCTAATTTCCCTTGATCAGATTATCCACAGCTTTTTCGACTTCACTAGGAGTTGGAGGACGTACATGGACTTTCCATTCATGTAGCTTAGAAATTGTTAACTGGGAGAAGGGTAAAGGCCATTCGATTTGTTTCGTAAGGTGTTCTGCTCATCGGTTTAATCTCCTGGATTGAAATTGAATAATAGTCCTGTCTTCTTCCGTGATAGTTTCTCTAATATATATTGTCATTAATCCCATTAATGTTAATGAAATTAATTTATCTTTGCTGGTAATTTTGTTAATTTTATCTCTAGGTGGCTCGTCAAGTTGAACCATTGTACTTTTGTGCTAGGCGTCACACTGATCATATATATATATATATATATATATATATATATATATATATAACTGTTGTACACACTTCCCTTTTTCTATACCATTTGTGCTTTTAATCTGAGCTCGGGACAACTATTCTGACAGACAACTTTTTATCACGTTTGTGTTGTATTATTTTATTTATTTATTTAAACACATAAATATTGGTACAATGAAGCACCAGATAAGTATGCGCCTCACAAATCTCATTCGATTTGTGTGAGGGCTGTGATACTGCCCAGGTGCCCAGACTGAAGCAGGTGGTTTTCTTAGGGGGCCACACCCGGAGCCTTTGACCTGAATGTCTGATCCACAAGGCAGTGGAGCATCGTGAGGAGATGCAGTCCCATGGTAGCCGTTGACCAACGACAGGTTCGTCCGCCATTCGTTCCATCAGGATACTGGAGCCCATGTGCACCATTGGTTTGGAATAAGGGTTTTCCAACTCCCCTAGGTGGATCCTCCACATCCACCAACCCGGTTAAAGCGCCGGACATTCGCTTTTCGTCCTCTCACTTTCGTAAACAACACCGGTGCCACGAGAAGGCAGTGAGTAGGACTTCCCTGGCAGAGGCTATATATTCGCTGGCCATATGAGAGTATTTCGAGAGGGAGAGGTGACTCTCCCCACTCTCGGCCGTACCAGGGCATTTGGGTGTAGTGCTTTATCCTTAAATACGAAGTGTAAGGGAGGATATCACTCTTGTTTTCACACATCAGCAAAAGGTGGTTTCGGTTTTGTCAACTTCAACTCATTCTTTTGTATCAAATGTTTCAGAGGAAATCCTTTCTATTGACTTTCTGTGTTTTTTAGTTATGGTTATTTGATTTTCAATGCATTTTTCTTTCATAGTTTATTTCACTATGATTTTGTGTCAAGTGACAATTGTTGAGTTGATAAAACTTCAGTTCATGACCAATGAATCGATATATTGCTAAATTAACTTGAATGTAAATCTTAATTTGCCCGACCGTTGCTGCTACTCCCGACCGTTGCTGCTACCCCCGACCGTTGCTGCTACCCGACCGTTGCTGCTACCTTGACGTGGTGGTCGGGCTTGCCTATCGTGATGAAGCAATCGAGCTATGCTGGCTGGAACAATCGTTCCTCGAGGTCCTACCATGCCCGACAGGTCGATTGAAGAGCGGTGAGACTAAAAGCAGCAAACCCAAGGTCCGAAGGCGAAGTCGTACTGCTGACTGTACAGAGGTGTGAAAGCAGTAAGGTGTTTCCTTCAGACAACCAGCATGACAGCGATGCTGCCTTCCCACAAGGAGGGGTGGGGTTAGAAAAGGTCGACCCTAAAAATGCACACCTCGCCTTATCCCACGGATATCCGTCTCCGGCGGTAAGGTTTTTTTTTTGAAGAACGGAGCTAACACAAAAACTACCCACAAAAAGGTCGTGTGTGACCGACCTCAAGCAGTTGTCCCTTGGGCACTGCGGTCACGCTCTCCGGTCATTAAGACCACTTCTAACCCAATTTCCTTTTCAGGTACCTCTAGAAGAATCCTTCCACGGTGTGGGCAACCGGGAAGTGATAACTGCCCTCATACCTCTAACAACACTCAAGACCACTGTATTCATAATCAATCTCCTTCTTCAATTCCTACTACCTTGACTTTCAACACTAAACTTCCTCTCTCGATTTCCTCCTCAAGTGTCACCATGGCCAACGATTCTAGTGCGCGAAACGCTGTCCCAGGTCTACTAAAACCTCGCTCCAAACTACACATTGGAGCCTTCAACGTACGTACTTTAAGTCAAATCGGTCAACAGGCCTCCTTAGCTAAAACCTTAGAGTCGCGTACCATTGATGTATGCTGTGTCTCCGAA